GGGGGGGGTGGGTGTGGTTGTGGTGGCCATTTTGTGAACATGCTGTTTGTTGGTGCAGTACTTGTGCTGTTTTACCTCCCCATTTGTATGCTGAGAGAGATTGTTTGGATTCATTGTTTTGTGTTACGGTAATCTGGCTTACCCGACCCTTGCCTGTTGTACGATTTTGATTCTGGATTCTCCCTCTGAACTTGATGTTTCTTTGTAAATATTTGTGGTGAATATTGTACATAGTTATTGGGAAAGTAAGGAGTCAGACGCCATCTTTTTTTTTTGTAATGTTCGGATCTGTGTTTTTGGATTAGGTAGTTAGGTTAGAGAATTGTATTTTATTTTAGTTTCTTTACTTCGGATAGGTAATTTAGAGGGTCTTATATTAAGAACGTTTTGTTTATTATTTTGGCACCATCGGCTCCTGAAAGTGAACTCCCTAATAAATATTGGAGAAATAAGATGATTGTTCACGCTTGGGTTTTTTCATGTTGCGCTCTACCCCTAGACGGGGCGTAACATGGAAATTGGGGGCACTTTGGATGGGTTAAAATGCAGAGCACTAATTCCACATGTCACGTCACACTATTTTGTGCCAGAAGAAGCTGTTCAACAACGCACAATTTAATGATTTAGTATGAGCCATCTGGAATATGCCAATGGACATGTTTTAATAGACAAATAGACTGATTGAATTCACTTAAAATGTTAAAATAAGTTCCAATGACAAATGGGTCAAATTTTTTCCCTAGATCTTTAAATATTGATTACAGTTTGTGAATTTTCAAAGGGTAGTTAAAAAATTAACATCTCAAGCCGACACTCTCACGTAAATTAATTGTCATTCAATCCTTCACAGGAAAAAAATGGCTTACTTTAAGAAGAAAGCATTTTTTTATTTATAATTTATAAATAATTCACTTAGCTGATGTTATTGAAGGGGATACGTTATTAAGATAAAATAATACAGCATAACAAGAATAACTCAAATAATATTTCAAACACAACTGATCACGTTTGTGTCCACATGTTATTTAGAGAATGCACGCTCGATTGAATTCATCCCTGACACCAATTCTGTCCTTGACCTTATTTGGCCTAAACTGAATGACCCAAGCTAGTCATTATTACCTTTGTTCATTCGCATGTTTCTGACTGGAGTTAGATTTTTTTTGACTTCCAGCTGATTGTGGCTTGACCATGAGAAAGGTTACTGGTTAGGTTCACTGATTACAGAGTGAATTGTGAACTGACTGATATCATTGCAGTTGCTTTAATAAAGAGGTGAACTACTGTAGCTTAATGATTGTTGAGTCTCTTTTTCTGGACATCTGGATGCTTTAGTCAGCCTGTTGCATTGAATTCATTATTCTGTCAACTCTCTGCATACAGGGTTCATAATACTTATCAGCTTTCATTAGCAAATGTATAGCACTTGTTTAACATCTGTGTCAGTTTTCAAAAAGGTACTAATAGCCGATAATCTTCAATTTGTTTAAAATCCTGCTTTAGTCTTTGAAAACTATTGAAGAATTTTATGCACCAGGTTAAATTATTATTAGGGACATATCATATATACCAATGCTTATACATCCAATTTTGCACTGGATCAGGAGATTGGGTCAGTTAAAATGCACTTGATTATTTTAGGAATTTTTAAGCCAATTAAATGCAAGGATCAATGTGGATATATTTTCGAAAATAATAAGTGCATGATCATATTGCTATTCTAAGGTGGTGATAGACCGGATACAGATGGTTATTTCCTACTTCAGATCAAGGGTCATATGCAAACCTACATAATCTTGCTCCTTTACTGCTAGAGGCAGAGAGGACTAATGAGTTGTTCTCTACGTGGTGCCTGAAATAAAGTCCTGCTTGCTATATGCACATTAGTGTAATGTTGGCTTACCAGATAAATAATTTTGTGGACATGAAATATTAATTTGATCTTATAGCTTACACTTTGAAAAAATAGTACATTCCAAGACAGTTGGCCTATAGCAACAACACAAATACTGCAGTTTATCACTTATCAGTTTATTAAATGTTGGGGATCTTTTATGGCCATGTTTCTTATATAAGAGGTTATATTATTTATCAAACTGACATTGGTTAAGATCCATAACCATACAAGATAGAATCAACACGTTTTAGGTCACAACATCAATATCTCTAAACACTCTTAAAAATAAAGGTTACTGGCATTGATGGTTTCATAAAGAACATTTAACATCCATGGAATATTTCCATTCTACAAAAGGTTATTTATAGGACAAAAATGTTCTTCATACAAAGAAAAAAAGAAGAAGATTATTTTAAGAACTGCTTACTGAAAAGTTCTTTGGTAGCCAAAAATGTTTTTTTTTCATATGGCATCACTGTGAAAACCTCATTTTGGAACCTTTATTTTTAATAGAGCATGAAGGTATGAAAATGGATTCCAAATCTGGATCGTTCATCACCTGATTCTGTCCCCCCTATGTTTCATATGCAAGGAGATTATAATACTTAGCAAACTGATACGGGATAACCTGTTAAGATCCAAACTGCAGTGTTGGATGTTGTGACTTACCAATCAAAATCAGGCATTTCAAAAGAGACATGTAATAAGATTTTATCATACTGTTGTTTCTCTAATTAACATTCATTGTCCTTTGTCAAAGTCAAATCCCAGAGGCTCTGCCAGCAAATTTGATAGAATGATTGATGGCACAATGCGGGTATATGTGTGTGCTGTTTAGAATTGTCACTCAAGACAGTGTTCCAGTCACATTGTACACCATCTGTTGGTGACTACAAGATTAGAACATACAGTGGGTACGGAAAGTATTCAGACCCCCTTACATTTTTCACTCTTTGTTATATTGCAGCCATTTGCTAAAATCATTTAAGTTAATTTTTTTTCCTCATTAATGTACACACAGCACCCCATATTGACAGAAAAACACAGAATTGTTGACATTTATGCAGATTTATTAAAAAAGAAAAACTGAAATATCACATGGTCCTAAATATTCAGACCCTTTGCTAAATCTGCAAAAATGTCAACAATTCTGTGTTTTTCTGTCAATATGGGGTGCTGTGTGTACATTAATGAGGAAAAAAAATTAACTTAAATGATTTTAGCAAATGGCTGCAATTTAACAAAGAGTGAAAAATTTAAGGGGGTCTGAATACTTTCCGTACCCACTGTATCTATTGGTACGTAACAGTCTGCGTTTGTATGATGTCTCCCTGTTTCATTCTTGAGGAAGGATTCAAAAGATGGATGTCAATTGAAACTCACTGAATGATGAAAAAGATGTCTCTAAAGAAAAGCTACTGTTTTGTGTTTCAGCAATTACAATATATAATGGGTTTCATATTGTCTTTCGGCATTAAAAAGTTGGAGGATGAATCAAAAGCAATGTTTTCTTCTAATCTGCTGTCTAAAAAATATTCTCACTCGCTTTCATATTTACTACAAAGTGCACAACTGCACAGCAAACTGTTTCCACTAATGAGTCAGACCTGCAGTGGAAAACATAATGGAACAGTTGTGTTAATTTTTATGGGCCTGAAAAGGTAAAAAATGCTTTAGTCATGTTCTGCCAAATCATCAGATGAAGCATAGTGCTGATGTACTACAGATGGCTTCGTGGAATATTTGGCACTACTGTTTTTCTGTCCTACTTCTTTTCACAGTCTCCATTTTATTCCACCGTAGAATAATAGATGAAATATGGAAAATATGATTTGTACATGCATTTTCTTTTATGTGTTTCTTTTACATGTTAAAATACTGTCTTCTACTGGAATGTTTTTTTAAATACCATCTCCCATTGAGTTCTTTTTTGAACAAGACATTAAAGGACACAAATAATACATAATTCAGTTAGAAACATTGTGTTGTTACAATACATGGCACTTTGTAGCCAGCACACTATGGTTTCTTTGCTACACTCAATTCTTTGCTTTATATATTCATTTCCAAACCTCCCAAAATTATCCACAAACATATATGGTGTGTGAAAATGTCTGAAAAGCCAGGCATCATCAAAACACCAAGCTCCAAATTGCTAGTGAACAGTAATTATCACTACAGACAATAATGTGTAGATAGATACAATCTGCATTTTTTTCCTAAAACATAATGAGAAATATTGTAAATATCAGTGCTGTGTGTGATGGACAGATAGAGTACATTTCTCTTCCTGCCACTCCAATTCGAATCCCAATTCAGGTTCCTGAAAAAAGGTCCACCCCTAAACCTAACCATAAGCAGATTTAGAATTTATTCAAATTAGCACCCAATTTTCCAAAGCATAAAATAGCTATGAATTGCTATGAGAGTGTGCTGGACAAAATATGATCATGGTTATATGAACAATAGAGTGTTTTTTTTCAGTCTAGACTTGTTTAAATAGAAATGCATACCCAGATAGCAAAATTCCTGATGCCCAGATCAGGCATAGGTAATAAAAGCATAACACCTAAAAGAAGTATCCTTCAAAAAAAGTTGTATAAAATAAAATAAAAGTGCTCCAACTTTTCAGTGTTTTCAGACAACAACTTGCCTCAAAGTTCTGGGCTTAGTCTAGCCTTTGGAGGTTAAAACCAGTGCTTTTATTGAACTGGAAGCATCAAACTCAATCAGTTGTAAACAAGTGTGACAATACAAGAAACTCGCAAGCTTTGGGATCACTCAAGCAAGATAATAAGTAGAGAGCTACATCAATGGCAGCCATCTCAAACATAGGTCACCAGCCAATCAGCTTTCTTGCCCTTCGGGAACACCACTAGGGGAAAGAGCTGCAAAAAAACCTTGTCGGCTCTCAAGGTTCAGCTTCTTCACAAGCTTTTCTTTTTTGTCAATAGTTTATTCTTACACTTTTTTTGAAGCTGAAGCTTACGCAGGGTTCATATCTTATGGGGCACAATGTAAATATTAAAATGAAATATGAGATTATAAAATATTAAAGTTGAAATAATGGTTGACAGCAGTAAGGTGATTGTCATGTCATGGTCGATAACTAATAACCACCAATATTACAATCTATACTAATTTGCTGAAAAGTAAATAAAAGGACATCTAAATGGCAAAGGTAAATTTTATGTAAAATTTTATAACTTACAGTACAGTATATCAGCTAAACAAACAACACTGTCAGTGGATAGGATTCCTTCTTAGTGATTTGAGCCATGAGCTTTATATTATGGTTGTTACTGTGCCTGTCAAAGCTCCATCTTTGAAAAAGCAGACATTTTAGGAGGAACAAAACAAGAGAAACTTAAATCTTTTTTTACCATGCCAATCAATTCCTGGCAGGAGTCAAGGAACCCTGTAGAGGAAGTCATCTCACTGCGCTGATGATGTGCAGGCCATTTGAGCTTTAGATGAAATATGTATGAATGTAAAAAATGCAGTTCAAGCTCTAGCACACTTATCAATTACAGAGAGATGGCTACTTCAGTACTTCTACTGGATATTTCTTTAAGAAATGGACAGCCAGACCAGGAGAAAAACATTTCAGACTAGCTGGTGCAAGTCCTACTGATAACATATATATATATATATATATATTCATTGTGCATTCCAATTAATCTCAATCAAACTGCAGCTGTGTTATTTTGATTAGGTTAAAAAAATAACAAAAAAATACAGCTAACTAACACAATAAAACACAATAAAAACATATGAGGTGCCAACAATTATATAAAAATCTGAATATATAGATGTAAATCTGAATATATAAATGTAAATTGTGAATATATAGAACTAAATCTAAACATATACTTATAAGTCTGAATATATTGTTATGTCTGAATATATAGAAGTAAATCTGAATATATAGTTATAAGTCTGAATATATAGAAGTGAATCTGAATATATAGTTGTAATTCTAAATAAATAAATGTAAGTGAATCTGAATATATAGTTATAAGTCTGAATATATAGAAGTGAATCTGAATATATAGTTGTAATTCTAAATAAATAAATGTAAGTGAATCTGAATATATAGTTATAAGTCTGAATATATAGAAGTGAATCTGAATATATAGTTGT